GCGCGGGGCCGGGCAAGGGGCCGGTTACGCCGGACGATGTGATTGACGTGTAAGGCGGCGGCGTAACACTGTCAATAGGGTTTTGGGTTTCAGGGCGGACACCAAGTTTTGCAGAGCGCATCTGCTGGTTGTATGGCATTCTCCTGCTGCTGTGGACGTCTCGTGGGCAGTTTCTGCAAATGCGTCAAAAATGTTGTGTGCGCGCGGATTGCCTCGAGAGTTTGGGGTCGATAAATACGGCGCCGCCCAGCCGGCGGCACGGCACGATCTGGGCGCGCCGTCTCCAAAGCTTTGCGCGGCGCCTCAGCCGGCGTGTTGGGGCGGAGGCTTCCAGGCCGGCTGCTTGACGGGGTGGTTGTGCGGCCATGGCCTGCAGGGCCTGATGGCAGCCCGTTTTTTGACATTTTGATGTGTGTCTTCCTTGGCATCCAATACACGACTAGCTGGTTGCTTTCCTCTTGTGCCATGCCTTTTGACGTTGCCGCAAGGTCAGCCGTTGAGATAGCGCGCTTCCCGCCCGTTGATGCGCGCCAGCAGAATGTTCGCCTGCCGCTTTGGATCTGCGGTTGTGCCTGGCTGTCACCCCTACCTGCATGGCTTTGAAATTCAAAAACGTTGCAATGTGTAAATGAAGGATCCAGCCCCTGACCACCACGCCAGCTCGCCGCCGGCGTCGGCCCTGCTTTGCACTCCCGATGTTGGTACGTTGGTTGCCGTGCAGGCCGAGCCTGCAAGCTTCATCGTGCATGGGCCTCCGGCCGCGGGTCAGTGCCCACAGACCAGCGACGACGGTGGCCGGGCAATGCTGCGCCCTTCCTCTGCGGCTACCCCTCCAGGACCGACCCCCAGGCCTCCGCCTTGCTCACCTCGAATGATGAGAATTCAGCAGCCGTGCTAGCCCTTCCGCGACCCGCTTCCCGCCCCCTGTCGGTCCCTATCCGTGCCACCCGTAGCCTGACCGTCACCAGACACCCTGTCAGGCCGACCGGACGCGGCGGCATCTTGCATACTAGCCGACGCAACGGCCCCGTTCTGCCCTCGGGCTTGCTGTGGCGGGGCCCTGCACCTGAGGCGCGCGCGGCTGACGGGGCACGCGGTCTGGGGGTGCGCCCGGCTGAGGAGGACGCCTAGCACGGGTGCATCTGCCAAGATAATCATGTGTACACGTTGGCATGTTCCATCCAGCCACAAGTCTGTCGCAGGCATGCCTGTTTTCTGTTCTGTAGTGCTGTTGGATCATTGGACTGGGGTGTCACAATTTGTACGGGATGGCAGCGAACATCTCCTGTCTAACATGCAATGCTTTGAAAATGAGTATTGTTACAACATCCAAATCATGATATAATAGCTCGTTTCGACGTCATTGAACGAGAGATCACCATTGAAGTTACTGTAGTCCTTCGAGTGCATCAAATCAACGACTGAGCCCCGGGAGCATGGATCATTGTAGTGCAAAGGGTGCCAGAAATACACTGCAAGCAGCTGTGGCAGTGCGCAAATCGCCACACTCAACATGGCAGCGGCCACCGGCGGTGCCGCAGCAGCACCGCGCACACCAGCACCGTGGGCGGCAAACACGCTCATTGCAGGCAGTGGCAGAGGACGACACAACAGGATCCAAATTGACCTCCAGTGCAACCATTGTTGATGACCATTTCAGCAGCCGCCGGTCATTCATTTTCAGCGGCGCCGCCGCCGCCACGACGTTGCCCGCAGCGCTCTCGGCCGCCCCGCCCGCCGCTGCCGCCGCTGCGGCCCCCGCCGCGCCCCCGCTCTGCGCGCCGCTCTCTGACGCCTCCGCCGCGCGCAACCCGGGCGTCGGCTGGGCGCTGCGCAAGCGCGACAAGCAGCTGCTGTACCCGCCCTGGCTAGAGGGCGCGTGGCGCGTGCGGGCGCGGTTCGAGGGCGCGGCCTTTCCCTTGGGCAACCGCTTCATCAGCAAAACCGTGCCCGGCGCCCTGAAAGCCTCGATGGCGGTGACGCTGCCAGACGTGGGCGCGGCGATGGACCGAGAACTAACGTTTGACCAGCGGTTCGCGGCCAGCCCAGAGCAGGGCGGCGTCGTGGCCGACAGGTAAGGCGCCGCGCCGCGCTGCGCTGCGCGGGCGCCGGCGCCGACGCCCGCGCCTCCACCAACGGCCGCCGCGGCTGCAGCTTGGTCCTTGCAGCGCGCCTGCCGAGGGCGCCAGGCTTGGGCGCGGGCCGCCCAACGCGCCCGGCCGACCGCGCCAGCCGGAGCACGCATGTAGCATTGCTGACGTCACATCACGTCATCACGACACTGCCGCGCCCGCCCCCACAGGGTGTTCAACACGCGGCAGGTGATGGACGCATTCCTGGGGTACCCTGCCGTCACCGGGGTTACATACGATCCCCTGGAAAACCCCACGCGCATGGTGGGTGCCCGCTGTCGATTTGGGGCCACCTGTCAACATTCCGATGTCAGAGCTTTCAAACGAGAACTTGCACTTATGCTGGGGCCCGTGTCTCGGTGCTCATGGGCGCCTTCGTCCTAGGAGATGCCAGCTGCCCGCAGTGCGCTGCATGCGTGTTTGCTCGCCCCAAGGACACCGGGCATGGACTCCAGAGCAATGATGCCGCAACTGTCCCGCCAGCTGCTTCAACCAACACATACACATACATACGTACGCCCACACACGCACACACCACACACGCTCACAGACACGTACCCACGTGCGCACACACACACACACACATGCACACACAACAACAAAAACCTGCCCCGCAGGCCGTCGTGTGGTCCACGCCCCGCAAGGACGCGTCGCAGCAGAGCGCCGACCTGCGGAAAGCGGAGGTCTTTATCAACAACAGGGGCTCCAGCGGCTTCGACGGCGACGGCGGCGGCAATCAGGGCGGCGGCGCGTCGCCTTTCTGCTGCTTTGAGCTGTATAGGTGAGAGTGGGCCAATGCCGCCAGGTCAGCGCCAGTTGCGGGGAGGAAGCTTCTGGGGGTTTGGAGCCTGGAGCGGGGCGTGTGTGTGTGTGGGTTGATGTGGCACATGCGGCGAACCGCGCCGCCCTCCTCCTTGTATAAACAGGGCAGAGACGGCCTTAAGAACTTGAACGGAGTTTCACGTGGAACCTTGCCCGCACGTGCTGTGGCGCGCCCGCAGGCAGGTCACGCAGGCGCGGCAGCAGGGGGCCGTGAGCGACTACGCCTCCTGGTGGGAGTTCCGCTTGGAGGGCAGCGCGGGGACCAGCGAGGCCGGCGGCGGTGGGGTCGGCGGGTCGCAACGGGTGGCGGTCAGGTGGGCCGCACGCTGCTGCGCGTGCCTGGGCGCGCGCTCTGCTGCAAGGGCGTTCCAAGGGCGCGTTTCTGATCTACATGCGCGCAACAATCCAACTTTTCTCATCCTGCCATTTCCACAGGCGTCGGGCGCGCCCGCCCGCCCGCCAGCCACCCCCAAACGCTCAACCGACCCCTCCAGGCAGCGGCGGGTGGGCGCTTCCCTCGAAGCCCTGAATCCCGTAACCTACAAATACACACCAATCGCAACCTCTCAATCCCACAAACCATGAATCTCTCCAATTCCTCCAGGCAGCGCGTGGCGGCATTCCTGCAGCCGCAGGACCCCCTCTACTTTGAAGCGGGCGACAGGGCGGTCGCGGTCTACGACTACACCTACGCCTACGAGCGGGCGTGAAGTTCGGCGTGAACTCTTGCGCGGGCGCCGTGCGCGCGACGCGGGGCCTTGTGCTGGCGTGCAGGGCGCCGTCGGTGCTGCTGGCGCCTTGATGTGCACATGTCGCACTTTTGTCACACTCTTTTGGCTGAACCAACTCCCTCGGTACTTGTCTTTTTTGATGGCATTGCGTCCGGCTGTGTGCTTATGTGTGTCACGGGGCCGTCCGCCGGGTTTGACCATATTACTTGAGTCAGAATTGTGTACTTGCTGCTGCTTCCACAAGCAAGAAAATGTCTCAGGGGCTGTCGGAATCTTGGCAGCCCCAAGAGCGCACAGGCAGGCACGTCTGGTGTGGTAACAAGGAGCCATCGCCCCGCTTGCCTGCAGGCATTCAGCATCACCAGCAGCACCAATTACGGGCGGAGGGAAGCACGACGAATGGGCTGGCTGGCCCACTGCAGGTCCCCCTCCCCCCTCCCCATCCAGCAGCAAAGGCGCCTAACCCTGCAGTACACCTGAGCGGCGCAGTCGCTACACATGTTCAGTCTCATCAGCAAACCCTCCATCTAAATAGGGAGGTGTTGTTTCACAGCGTGACTCGTTATTTCTTGTCTCACTGTGTTACAATTGAGGGGCTATGATTAACTGTATGGAGGTGCTAAAAGTAGCCCCGACAGCCTCGGCTGTGAATGTCAGCCGGCTGACCAATGGATGCACCAGTGGAACGGGAGTCAAATCGGGTAGCAAGATAGGTCGACGCTGCAGCCAAAAAGACGATCAGAGGCAGGTCAAACACAACACACCGTGACAAAAACAGGGTTCCAAAACATGATGCGATGCATGCCCAGGAGGGGCGGAGGAGCCAGCTGCGGCGCCGCGCATGCATCGGTGTTTACAAACCGTGCGCCGCCGCCGCCGCCACCGCCGGCGGCATGCCGGCGACCCCGCTCGCCGCTGCGGCCGGCGACGCGGCGAGGCCGGTCGCGACGGCAATGTGTCGGTGGATGGTGTGGTGGGGCGCGAGATGCGCGAACAGGCTGAATATGAGGAATAGGATGGGGTTGTAGACGACCATGTAGCGGATGGCATCAAGCATCTGCAGCCTGAGGGTGGTTTGGAAAGGGGACCGGGGGCACAGGGGGGGGACCGAGGGGGTGCGAGGTGGGGATTGCCGCAGCTGTGGTGGTGCGGTGTTGATCGACATACACAAGTGGGCGACGCGCATCGGTGGGCAATTCACATGTAGCGCGACACTTAGCATGTCGTCTGCACAGGCAGCATCGCCCTCGGGGCTGGCCGTTGCTCCACATGCGTGGATTTCTCGGGGCCCAACACTGCTGCACCCCCGATTAGTGAGCAACTGATCATGCTCATCAGACAAGCCGCACCCACACGCGCTTATGTACACGCGCAGTCACATACACATTTGACCACACACACACACACGCACAAACACACACACACACACGCACA